AGTGGCCAGCCTATCCACAACTTTCAAAACGCTTGAGGCGATGCGCTGAGCACTTTGAAAGGTAATTTAATCGGTCGGAATTGTTAGATTTCTCGCCGGCCACTGATCGGCCCGCTCCATGAGCTATCCCTCTAGATCCACCCTCTCGCTCAGAAGTCGAACGTGAGATAGGACTGTTGAAGTTATATAAAGCCGCGGAACCTGATGATCTTCCTCCAGCACTCTTCCAATTCTGGGGACCTCCTCTTGTAGATGATTTATACGAGTTACTAGTGAAACTGTGGGGGCAGGAAGCTGTCCCAACCGACTGTAGCCGCGTCGTCATAGTCCCAATTTTAAAGGGAGGCTCACGATCGGAATGCAGCAACCATAGAGGAATCATTTTGATCCCCGTCGCCTCCAAATTGTTTGCCTCTGTCATTCTTCATAGACTGACTGGCACTCGTGAAAGCTTTATTCGTGAAGAGCAAGCCGGGTTTCGTCAAGATCGTAGCTGCATTGAGCACATCTTCACTTTGCGTCAGTTGTTGGAGCACCGCCACACATATTGGCGGCCCACCATTGTCGAGTTCCTCGGTATTGAAAATGCATTCGATTAGGTGGACAGATGTGCACTTTAGGACTGTCTAGTCGGGAAAGGTGTGACCAGAAATAAGTAAATATTATCCAAGCATAATACGCGCAGAGTGAGGGCTTACGGCAAGTTGTCGTCGTCCTTTAATATCTCCAGCGGCGTGAGACAAGGATGCCATTCCTCTTCAACTTCGCGATTGACGAAGTCATGGAAATCGCGTTTACAGGACAGGAATTAGGTGTAGTTGCTCTCAGTTGAACCATTTCTTAACTTGGAGTATGCTGACGATATTGCCCTAATCTGTGACAGCTCACAAACGTGTCAAGCGGCACTGGACAGATTAGCACTACCTGTCCGTCGCTTCGGGCTTTGCTTCGCACCTTCGAAATGCAAAGTTTTCCTCTAAGATTGGCCTGCACCGCTTCCTACGCTGACCCTTGGTGGGGATCAGATAGAAGTCGTTCAAAAACTCACCTAGCTGGGAAGTTGCATCAGCACCCGTGGGATCGAAGATGGGATCACGAACCGTATAGCAAAAGCTCGAGGCGCTTTTTCTAACCTTCTCCACCTATGGCGCCTGCACGAAATCACTCTCCACCTGAAGGGTAGAGTGTACAATGCTGCGGCTGGGAAACCTGATCCCTTAGATCAATGGACATAAAAAGGCTAGTTATGTTCGACCACCGGTGCCTTCGTAACTTAGCTCACATCTGGTGGGAACACCAAGTAAGCAACCAGCGTGTTCCATACCTTGTTTATGGCACAGAAAAAGGAAATGAATCGCTCAGCGCCGTTATTTCAAGCACCAGGCTCCCATGACTCGGCCACGTGTTACGCATGCCAGCCCACTGACTACCGCGACGAGTTTTGTTTGCGCGCCAGGGGTGTGGTTGGAAGAAGAGGAGGGGTGGCCAAACAATGACTCGGTCGAGAGAAATGAAAGCCCTCACTTTGAAGCTGGCCTCGGTTGGAGCGCCTCGGCTCCTTGGTTGGGGTCCGAAAGGCGATGAACACGTTTGGCTGGATACACATGCTGATATGGCTAGGAGCCGACCTCAGTGGCGCTCCTGCTGTGAGTTTCTTTGTCCCAGCCCATCCCTCTTAATCTCCACCCTCCAAGCACGATCGCACAATTTAGCCTTTTATAATTTCGCGTAGTAAATCTTTTTTGCTGCATAGTAGGCGGCTGGTGGCTTACCGGTACGATGCCCATCCGTTACCGGTAGATCAACTGGCTTGCATCTGCAGCATTTTTCCCTTTTTTATGTATTGCGGCACAGTAGCTGAGGTGACTCCCGCCTCTAGCTAACGTGCATAATGATGATGATGGGCTTGGCAATGGTATGACGTTCATTTCTGTAAAACAGAATCGTTGCCACCTCCACGCTACTTTACGGAGTGGCTTTTGAACCAAAGTCTTTGATTGAGGACCCTAATCGTCCTCCTGTCTAGGGCTTGGCATCTTGGAAGTATCGCAGCCACGTACAACCAAGCTCATCTCCTCAAATTGCAATCCTATCCCGCATCGGTCGCAGTGCAGTATGAAAAGGATCGGTTTGTCTGCCTCATACAGCATGGCGGATAAGCGAAAATTTACCACTGTTTGGACCTTTCTTTTCCACATGCTTCAGCTACTCGCCTACCCGTCCCCATTACCAACCATCCCTCAATAATTCACAGCTTAATAGACGGACAGCCATGTAGCTGCACCACCCAATGGACGTCTATCGGCCACATTCCCTTACAAGGCAACGCTGTCCTGTTTTGCTGGCGGCTTTCAACGAAATTACTGGCCCAAAATCTCGTTCGCCGCTTCAATGCGGAACGGGGTTTGGAGGTTGGGGAAGAGCAAGCAAGCTTCCGTTTAGGACGGGATGACTTAGGGAATGTCGACACTGTTCGGGCACTTCTTTTCATAGTAGATAACCGTAGGGAGAAGATCTGCTGACTGAAGCAAATGCGGATCGTGTGTAGCAAAAAACATAGATCACTGGCCGACCTAATGTTAGACGACATTTAAGTATTTGATGGATTGCGAAAATTTGACCAATGCAGCTCTGACCTCAGCGAAGCCCAGTTTGCGACTTAGACAAGCGCTGTTCGTGCACTCGATCAAACCTCCGTAGAGTATGATGATGAGCGCTTCGGATGCAAACCAGATCAAACTTCATGGCTAGGACTGCTATTCAGTTACTTTATTAGGAAAGGAACAAGCATATTCACTAACCTCCAATCGCGCAGGATGACTTCCGTGGCGCAAAACCATTGCAGAATGAAAGTGAACTCACAAGTGACGGGTCTCTAATTGGAAAAAGGGTCGGAAGAATATCTTACGCCAGCGGTTTTGTAGCGCTTTGGAAAGTGAAGCTCATAGGTAACCTCGGCTTGTAGAAAAAGTGGCGGTGTCGCTCATGAATGCGACGGAGGTGAACTCGCTATTCACAACTATGACCTCGTGTGAAACCGTGAACGAAGTATGCCAATTTATCTTGAGTTCAAACTCTGTTGTGCGTAAAGAATGCCTGATTTGAATTGGAAGGAACTGCATACATGGAGATCCATAGAGTCATAATTGGCAGACATTCTTGAACTTGCGCGAAGGGAAAGTCAGCAACAGCGTTGGTGAAGCAAAACTACATAAAAGGTATGTGAACAACATTCTGATCTTCACCAGTGATTATCAATGTAACTGCCCGGAACTCTCTGTATCACACAAGTGGAGCAAAAGAGTAGCCAACCATTTTTGGACATATTCACCAACAAATGAACCGGCGGCAGACTTCAGCGTACCGTCCAGCGTAAAGGAACCTGAATCAGGCAATAAGTCCGTTTTTGCAGCTTTGTTACAATTGTACATAAACGCGACCTTGTGAATACTACTCTCTATAAGGCCTGGTGAAGTTGTAGTCTGGAGACGCTAAAGGCTGAATAAGAGAACCCACATACGACAATGAAATCTAATGAGTGACGGAAGAAGTTTGTCTAGACCCACAGCAGACTATCCAAAGTGAAGCTACCAGTGCGTACGGAAGGGAGGAAATGCTTATTCGTTCTTGAGATTCCAAGACAACCAGGGCGCAAATGGCAATGGACATCAGATCAGGTCTACTCTAAAGCGCATTTAGGCAACCGCTAAGTCGACTCGTTCACACCACAGCCTGTCAGGCCGTCTGGTCTCGCATGTTATTCGTCAGTCAACGAACATTTGCAAGGACGTTTACATTGTAGGACTGAGTCAGTTGATTTTGAAAGATAGTCGAATACTTCCCAGATTGGTTAAGACGACTGATGACGCAACAAGGAGGAGTGATGTAACGGAGCGCTGTCGTATCCATGTGACGAGTGGTCAATAGGTGGACCCAATGAACGAATTCAAAACAGTCCCGAACGACAGGAATTCCAAAAGGTTGGCAATTAGCGAGGCATTATTGATCTCGAAGAGAGATAACCGGTTCAATCGCCGTGGTCCTGATTACGTGACTGTGCTTTGCGTATGCATGTTAGTCCGTTCATGGCTTGCGTGTATTGAGTCTGTGACTGGGGAGAGTACTAGGAATGTTAACGGACCGTAATCTGTGAAGATCAAAAATTAAGCTAGATCCGTCAAGCAAAACATAACTCCCCGAGTCATCACAACGTAGAAGAAAGTGTGGGCATGCGGTGTAAACAAGTATGTTCAATAATCTGAAAGCGTCTGAATAGTCGGACCGAACAGCCAGATCTGGGTGCCATCGAGAACAGCCCAGTTGTAATTTTGAAAGCAAACAGAGAAATGTCCTTATGTCACGACGGACGCCGCAGAATGTTCGATGCAGCTCTAACCTCTTGATCATCCGAAAAATGGTTAAATCCATCAGAAAGTGAACCTCAACAGAAAGTGAACCCCAACAGAAAGTGAACTTCTAGCTGTTTAAGCTAGGAGAGATGTTGCTCAATGTGTGTGGGACGGCATGTTTGATATACTGAGCATCTAAATCGTCAAAACTAATTAACTAATCTACAACGATATCAATCGATCGTGCTACAGAATGAGGGATATGTCAAGGAAAAAGAGCGGAGTGACATGCGCACAACGAAATCAAAGGGATATTTGGGGATCACGTTCGCATCGGTAGAAGTGTGCACCAACAGATCAAGATCAGACTGAGTATAGTCAACACCAAACCGAATTCGATAGTGAACGGTTCACAAGGCCCAATTACGAGGCTAGCACATGCAGAAAGTCAAATAGGAGATGGGTCGAAGCAAACGACTGTTAGCAGCTGGAAAACTAGCGTGCGAAAAAAGCAGACATAATATCAAAACGAAAGATGTAACTAATAGTCGGAACAACGTGTTTAGTGATACGACACGCAGAACACGAAAGAATGTGCAAAATGGAAAGACAGAGGAATTGTGGACACACGGACACATAACCGATACTTACGGGCATTTCCTTTGCTATTTTGCTTCCGCTTTTTCGCGGTACCAGTCCATGGCTGATGCGGTTGCTGGAGAGGCTGTTGCTGCTGCTGCTGCAAAATGGCGCTCGGTTTCAGACCATCCGACCCGTTGATCGCCACCGTGTTCGTGCTCAACGAACAGTTTGAGGCAGCAGCAGCAGCCACTGCGGCTGAGAAGTTGACGGCTGCCGCATTGGTTAACCCGCTCTGTGTGCCTGTGCCAGACCCGGAACCAAGAGTGGCACCTTTTCGCTTCCAGTAGTAGTAGAAAGCAATCAGTTCCTTTACTGTTTTGATAGGCTCTGGATGGGTCACGTACTTAGAAGTGTCTGAAAAATCAGATACATGGCGGAATGTTGGCAAAACCAGACTATGAAAAACAGTTCGCTACATGCCAAGTACGTCTATCAGCAAATAGTATGTGAGGTATATGAGAAATCAAGTGTCCGAATATTTGCACTGATATGCACAGTACTGTCCAAAATGCATAACAGAAGATCGTGGTTTGCCGATTTCTCTGCGGAATCAAGAGTGACGGTTCCATCGGCCGAACAATCAACAATGATAATACTAACACAGCTGTATGATAACACAACAGCGCACACGCGTAGTAAGGTTTCTGCGCATCAGATGACAGAGGAAAGCTGGTCTTTGGAAGAAATCGGCTTTACGATTTCACGGTGGTAACCAGTGGAACTTCGGAAAACTCGACGAAAGCGCCTCAAATGAGAGACGGTATCAGTGAGATTAATGAAAAGAAAGAATGATGTATATAACAGATGGGAATAAGGTGCAGAGTAGGAACGGGGAATGACTGTCAAAGATGGTACCAACAAGCGACTCGCAGATCACACGAATTGATGCGACCATTCTCGGAAAGTATTGTCCCACATTCAGTTTTGCGTGGGGGGACATAGCCGAAGTGGATAAAAGGCAATCGGACCAACACGGTTAGTTTAATGGAAACCGGGAACTGTTGTGGCCGGCCAGTTGATAAAGATGGGGCGGAACGCAGGTGCAGGAGTGAAACAGAAGGAAAAAAGGATGTGGAAAAGTCAATAAGTAGAAATTCTTCATATCTAGACTCAGTCAGACAGCCATCAGACGCCCGGAAAAGCATTGTACGGCCGTTCCGTCCTTTCGGAAATCGTAAGCAGTGCGCATTCCATCAGACTTCTGTGGGGTTGAAACCCACAATTCGACTGTTGTCAGAGCGCGGTTGAGAACACTGAGATGGTAACAATAGTCGAGACTAAGTAAGTAAAAGTGATATAACGCCGCTCACTATACCCTGGCTTTCAGGTTACTGCAGTGTAGAGCACAGGGTAGCACCCTCACCAAACGACGAGCTAATCAAAGTTAGGCCGCTAATTAAGTTACGATAGAATAAGTAATTTGGTAAGCATACTGATTACAGAGGAATATTACGAGGATTTGAATGGCATAAGTAGAAATTCGTTACATCTAGTGAGCGGCGTTTTATCACATCTGATAACTTAGTCACGAGGATTGTTATCGTCCGCCGTAGCTCATTGGTCTCAACAAGAGACTGGCGAATTTGAGCGCCTCAGGTGCCAGATGGAATGCGCAATCCTGACGGTTCCCGAAAAGATGAAACGGCCGTAGTGATTGTCCAGACGTATGATGGATGTCTGATTGGGTTTAGATGTGATTATATTTTACTCATACCACTTACATTCCTCCCCTACCTGGTGGAAAAGCTAATAGTAGGCCGAAAAGAGTCGATTAACTCTGCGACCGAAGATGGAAAGAAACTCTGATGTGAGCAGTCCCGTGAGACTGTTTATATATATATATATATATATATATATATATATATATATATATATATATATATATATAAAGAGTTGACATGCAGAATTGTCTCAAACCGGAACCTATTTTTGTATTTTTTCCACGCCACTTTTTTCGTTTGTTGTCTTTTTTAATTAGCTAACACTAAACTTTTTACCCTAAGTAGTATGTAAATGAAAGATTATTAGGTGCTGCCTGCCCAGAAACACTGCAACCCAAGACCGGTTTCCCAACCAAGTTGATCTTACCAAATAGAGATTGCAGGCATGGAACCCGGCGCCCTTGGGATGTTATCTGGGACTGGATTACGACGGCCAACGCGTGCATTACGGTTACTGGCTGATTGGTGGGGTTATTTTGTGTTACTGGTCGTTTGAATGGATTGCGATGCGGAACCTCTATGTGAACGACGATTCGCAATGAAATGAACCTTGGTCGATTCGATCACTGGGACTGTAACTGGCGAAACAGATGAATATTGGGCGTTGCTAGCACGAAGACACTGCACAACCAAGACCGGTTTGAAATTATTTCACCTCGTCATTATGTAGACAACGATCTTTTTCAACTCCTTAACTCTTAGCCCACCCCACCTTGCTACAATCGATGTTTAGCTTCTGGTTTCGACTCGCACACAATTGTGGAATGTCACTTCTGCCCCGCCGATAAGTCTATGTCCAACCCATAGGGACAACCACTGTTCATCAGCTTCAATTTGGAGCCCTCGTTCCTCGCTAAAACTAACAAGCCTCGAAGTGCGCACTTGGTTGCTTATCGGATAACAGGTAGCGCTCGACCGAACAGTAGAGATCTTACCAATATGTATATCTGCTGCTTATCGGAAATCCACGTGCAACACTCCAGCACTGTGCACTTTCTACGATCACCTTTATGTGACACTGGTGGAATCTCCTCAGTGAGTCTATTGCAAGATAACGCAGCTTTAAATGTCAGTGTCGACCAGTAGCCTAGAAATAACGAGCTTGTCTCGTACTCTTGCGGCGCGGATTCGAATCCGCGTAAGGGTGGGCGTCCTCGCGGTATACTCAGGCTATGTGCAACTGTCGTTGGTCGCACGGCAGCGAAGCGCCGTTACGGCGCACAGATGACACATTATTATTATTATTATTATTATTATTATTATTATTATTATTTTAAATGTCAGTTAAGCCGGTGGAAGCACCGCTCCTAGCCCCTCGACTGAAGTTGTTTTGATCAAGTGGAGCCCGGTCAGCATCCATCGGGCTTGATCATTCGTTCAAAGCTGCGAGGTCGCGCAAGGACAACAGACACCTACTTACCATACCCGTGGTCCATACAACTAGTTGGAGAACGTATCAAACTTGGTGCAATCAGTGGTGTCCTGTGTTCTGTTTCTTTCATCTAGTTATCGGTCTTCATTCCATCCCGATTAGTCTGAAGCACTTACCATGTAACTGAGAAAGTAATCCCTGAGATGACATCAGAATCAAAAGACAGTTAGGCGAACAAGCTTGTTTTCGGTGGTTCACATCAGGCCATTACACCACAGATAATAGGAATAAAACAAACACAGTGTATTTAAATACGATGAACCAATGAAGTGAAGTGATCGGTCAGTGCGATCAAGTGACGACACTGGCTTGGGCATCATTAGTGGAAGGGTCAAGCGTGGTGTCATAACATGGGGAAGCTAGAGGCCATGGCAGCTGTAGAGCCTGTACAAACTTCTTTTGAGCACATAATTCGGGATTATGCATCCGAATAGCGATTGCTTCCGCTGTCCCCAATAGGCGACATCGGAGGGCTCGCGCGTGGCGTCCAGATATCTTGTAGATAGGCCGGAAGGCCTCACGCACATTCACTTGGTGATTTGTGTCGGCCAAATACCCAGCACCACGCCGACTACTGTTTTTCAGACACCAGTGTAGAGCCACGCCGGAAAATGTTCTCGGACTCTCTCAGACAGTCTCCTGGTCGTCTTTCCAATATAACTTGCTCGACACGAGCAAGAAAAATGGTACCCACGGAAGGAAATATTCGACTTTGGCAATCTGTCCTTGGTTTGCTAACTCACGACTGGCGTAGAAGTGAAGCTGATGCGGTGGTCAGCTGCAAAGTAGGTTTCCGCTGTTGCATTGCAGAGCCTTCGTGTAGTTCGTTCTGCTATCACATAACCTTTGAAAGGCAGGGATAAGTAGATTAAGCGCTTTTCAACGGTGATTGGTTGGACTTTAAGTGCTCGTGGCTCCATATGTCTCCAGATGAATTTGTCCGGATAACCATTTTGTTCGAGAAAGCTTCGACTAAAACTCAGTTCATATAAAAGCGTATCTTCTGTGCATATTTTCCTCGCCCTTTCCGTTAGACAACGGACAAGGTTGCGTTGTTGACTCATTGGAACAAAACTGGCGAAATGGGTATACTGGCCGGTGCAAGTTGTCGTTCTATGTACGCTTCTTTGTATTGTCCCGTCTGATGTTCTGGTGATGTGGACATCTAAGAATGATAACGAGTTGTTACTTTCAAGATCCATGGTGAACACTATGTTGTTATGTGCAGCGTTGAAGCGGGCTAACAGATCTTCGATGCATACTCGACTATCCGCAACACAAAATATATCATCTACGTATCGACCGTAGTAAACCAAGTTGTTGATACATTCGTTTAGCTGTGTTCTCCAACTTACTCATAAAGACATCGGCGAGTAGCGGTCTTAATGGTGGACCCATAGCTACCCCATCTATTTGTCTGTAAAACGTCACATTGAACTGAAACTGAATGTTCTTAGTGCACGCCAATATAAGTTGCCTTAAGCACTCATTTGGAATATCGATGTTGATGTTGTGCAATTGGATAAACTAGCAGATAGTCAATGGTCTCTTCTAACGGAACGTTGGTGAAACGTGACGCCACATCTAGTGAGAACATCTTCCGTCCAGCTAGATTGAGTTGTTGCACCGAGTCAACAAATTCGAAAGTGTCCCGGAAGCTGTACCTAGATACGGCTTTCCTGACCGGCTCGAGGCGTTTGACAAGCCACTTAGCAGTCAGATGATAGGGAGAGTTGTACATGTCCAGTATCGGTCTCAACGGTACACCTTGCTTGTGGATCCTAGGTAAGCCATAAAGCCATATATATATATATATATATATATGGCGGGAGAGCCTATGGTGCGCTGAGGCTGGTGGTGGCTAGATCCTGACAGATGGTCTACCCACTGATGCTACTGCTGCGCCATAGTCTCATGTCCTGGGCGCCTCCACGTGGCGACCGCTGGGTGGGAGTTGGGTTTCGCCTTTCTCCCTGCTAAGATCCAGGACACCAATCCGCATGAGTCGGCTAACTGACCATGTGCTAGACTCGCTGCCTTTCGGGTGTTCATGTAATCGAAGGCTTTGGCTGAGGACCCGAGTCGTTCTCCTGTCAGGATTGGGCGCCCTGGCAGTATCCTAGTCCATCCTCTCCGGAGGTTAGGAAGTGGTCGATGGCCCACTTCCCGTAAAACCTAGCCATGGGAGACAACAGGTTTAC